TAGTAATTTGTACATAAACGATTTTTGAGCTTTAGCGGTAACATATATACATGTAACACACTTTTAACAAAATCATATTTATAAGTGTGAGAGTTCGTCACTTTTATATACCTATTATTGGTAATCGCAACTCCCTATGTTTTTTATCGAAATCTCCAGACCATTTCGGATAAGATAGAGACTGGATCTTTCGATACTTCCTGACCGAGAATATTCGCAGACTTAGAAGCATTCATAACGCACAAAGCAATATTATCTGATGATGTAGTATTTCAAACACGATGAACGCTTTCTTTCAGTCGCCACGCTATTACATGCGCATCCATATTCATATTCATATTCACATTCAATTGCTGCACGCACCAAATAAAGGCATTTACTTGATTCTTATAGATACTTTCCAAAATGTTCCTGCATACACACGCACATACACTTTTTATCCCTCATTTTTCCCTCATCCTTACATATATTGTTGAAAAGGATTCAATCTTAACAGGTTAGATTTCTTAATATTCTCTTAATACTTAGCCGACTACTCGGGGAGATCTCCCCGTTTCAATGTAGATCGGTGCCCGACCGATCGGGGAGATCTCCCCGTTTCAATGTATATTGGTGCCCGACCGATCGGGGAGATCTCCCATATTGACCTTAGCAACGCGTTTTTTTTCGTTTATTTATCTATATAGTGTAGGAAAAAAAGCTAGTATTTAGTTCTATTCGTTATATTTTATTTTCTAGAAATGAAAAATCTATTCAGAAGCTAAAGGGGAAGTTTAGGAGAGCTATAAAACCATAAACAAACCTAAGAATTATCGGGATATATTGGTATTTTGTATAAACAATATGTAAAATCGTTAAATAAAATTGTTACCCCAAGATTTAATTGACACTTAAATAATTTTCAAACTACTTTGATTTCAAATACCGCATATCAGTACGCGTCACTTGCAAAAAATGCGTGGTGGACAGTGTTATGGCCTAAATTCCTCAACTAAGAGTCCTCTGGCAATTTGGTATATGCTATGAAGTGGAGAATAAAAGGTTAGGTTTAGGTGTAAAATAAAACATGTGATTGAGCCAATAAAAAAGATGCGAAGCTTTAGTGGCTCGTCAGGGAAAAAGCCTGGTTGGCATTAAAACCCGGGATGATGTTAGTAGAATACAATGATAAGTCTATCACGTGGCGTCGCCACGTGGGAAACTATATTTTACGAGTGAATCACTTCTCATACTCCTCGCACTCCTTGAGTATAGCGCTCACAACCTTAAGGGTTGTGATGTTGAATGGGCTTACTTTCACAAGTCTTAAAGATTAGGATACTCTCTTCGTTGTCCTTTGTGAATTCTTAAATCTTTTGTCCAATATGGCTTCTATAATCCTTAGATGTTGAAGATGTATCGTCGTAGGCGTCCGGTCATGGAATAGGAAGAATGCCCCTTTGTACTGGCCCAGCAGGGCGTATGCACTAGGGTATGAGAAGTGGGGATGCGAGAGGTGGAGGTAACTGGAAGAACGTTTCGATAGTCGCTAGTATCGATGCTCGCAATGAATATCGATCTATAGTTTAAATCGATAGAATCGGACGCGCGTGATTTAACTATAGCTAATTACCGTACGATCATTTCGGATCTTACATGCTCCCCCTGTTGAGAGTGTAACAATCAATACATTCATAGTGTGTGTTATATTCGTTAATATCAATTTTACAATATTTGTGACACAAGTCGCTTAACATATTTGATATATCGCTTGCAGCACGAGCTGCTCAACTTTGTCGATATATCGCTTACAGCACGAGCTGCTTACTTTATTCAGTGAATCGCTGGCCAGGCGATCTATCTGTCTTGTACGTACAAGAAAATTAATTATAAAAGATACAACGCAAGAAAATTATTGATGGTTTAACAATGGACAAATAGTTGTCACATTTCGTTTGACAACTCCGTGAACCGTCTTCACGGTGACTACTCGTACTATATCATCTTCTCCTGGGTGTATGTTCACATAATTCTAAACGTGGTATGGTGGTGTCCTTAAGAGGAGCCATGCGACTTTTAGCGCAAAGTAGACGTACGCGTGTGTTACCGAATTTATCTCGCGATCTTACATATAAGCAGCCGCCGTAATCAGATTGACTCGCGTCGCAGAAACCGTGTAATTGCACGTCGATCGGGTCATCGAGTATAATGCGTCTTTCTATCGTTAAATTATCAATTAATGTCAATTGTTCCGCGAACGTTATCTAAAAGGCATGTAATGCGCTGGGCACCGATTCGTCCCAGTCGACGTGTGTTTTCCGGCAGTCTTGGATGAAGACTCTGGCTGTTAAAATGACGGGGGTCCTAACAGTCCGAGTGGATCGAAGATCTTTGCTACTTCGGATAGAATTCGTCGTTTAGTAATTCTTTCGCGAGTGTCTACTGGCGCGACGGAATAGATTAGATAATCATGATGGGCGTTCCATTAAATACCGAGTGTCTTTAAAACAGGATTTTCCCCAGAGCAGAGTTCGACGTCGACGTACTTTATGTCTAAATTTTCGAGCACCGGTCGGAAGTTAGACGTCCATTATCGTATGTTAATACCGCCTCGTTTCAATATTTCGATAGTTTGATCGCCTATCCTTCCAAGGGTTTCAATATTATCCGCTCTTGTAATGAGGTCATCAACGTATAGATCACGGTTTAGTATTTCGGCTCCGAGCGGATAATTCGTTCTTTCATCTTTCGCGAGTTGTTTCATGGTTCGTATGGCAAGAAAAGGTGCTGAGGCTATTCCGAATGTCACCGTATTGAGTTCGAAGGTGCGAATCTGTTCGTTATGTTACCAAAATATTCGTTGATACTGGCGATCGTCCGGATGAATCCATATTTGTCGATACATTTTCTCGATATCCGCCGTCAATACGTACCGATACGTTCAGAATCGTAACAAATGTTTTACTAAAGTGTCTTGGATTGTGGGTCCGACTAATAAGGTGTCGTTGAGAGAAAGTCTCTTATCATTTTTCGCGGAGGCATCGAATACGACCCGTACTTTTGTTGTCATGCTGGCTGATCTAATGACCGCGTGGTAGGGAAGATAGCAACCTCTTATGGGTTCGTCTTCGACGATCGACATGTGTCCTAAATCGATGTATTCCTGCATAATCCGTTCATATTCCATGCGGAGTTCGGTGTTCGCGTGTAACTTCTTCCAGAGATTATGGAACCGACGTAGGGCTATACTGTGTAGGTGACTGTAATCGTGTCCCTCTTCGCGGAAGGATAGACGCACAATATATCGTCCCGATTCGTCGCGCTTGGTATTTTGGATATAATGATTTTCGCATGCTGTTTCGTGTACCGATTTCGATCGCGTTATATTCTCGTCTTCTAATAACCAAAATTTTTCTAATTGTTCCCTTGATTCGGTCGTCGCCAAGAATGCATGGTTTCCTGTATGACCGTCAGATTCAATTCCACCGGCGACCACCCAACCTAATCGCGTTTTCTGTAGTATTAAATCACCACGTCCTTGTGACAAAGAAAATTGCCCTATTGACATGAGTGCGAGCGTTGCTCCGGAACCTATCAAGATGTCAACCGGTCGTGGCAAATGGAACTGGGGATCTGCCAGTTTTCGACCGAACGGAATTTTAACGAGTTCTCGTGGAAAGATTTCGCTGAGCACCTGATCGGTTATCTTAGGGACAATGAGTAGCGAAAGGTTTCGTCTATATTTATTGTCTAGTGATCGAATGGTTATCTCGATAACGCCTGTCGTTCGAGGTATGGTATCGTTAATAGAATGAAGAAACGTACGTGTTATATGTGTCTCCTGTCGCTTTCGTGGCCGTAAAGTCATCGTCTCAGTATGTCTACGTTTTGCGTGAGGCTCGTTTCTCGATGTCGATGGAATATTCGACGACGCGACGCTACGGAGTATGTACTCGTTCACAAAGTCGCAAATCTGATTCATGGTCGGATAATTATCCGCATCTAACTGTTAGTCTCATTCTTGTCGAAGGTCACGGGGTAGAATGCGTTCGCCAATGCGGACCATCTGTGCGTGTGGTATATTGAAAGAAGTAATGGTATCTGCATGGGCCCGCAAGTCACCCGCAAGCCGTGTCATCTCTTCTATTGACATGTTTTTCGGCCATGGAGTGTCTATGAAGGTGTCAATGGCCCGTGCCAGGAGTATGCGTCGCCGGTCGAAAGTTTTCAATAAAATTTCCCACGCGTTCTTATAATTCTTCCCGGTTGGTGCATATGTCGCGATCGTCTGAAGCGCTCTACCGGTAAGAGACTCGCGGAGGTATATATGTTTTTCTAAATCCGACATGTCTACGCGCGCGTCCACCAGCGTTAAGAAACTCGATATACGATTATGACGTCACGGCATCTTCGTTTTCTAGTCGACCGTTCAAATACAGGAAGGTGACGTGGCGTGGCGTACTTTTAGAGATGAAAAGTTTTTTATTAGAAGTTATTTATTAAAAGTTACGTTTATTTAATTAATCGTAAAATAAAAATCCTAACTAGAATAGTTCTGTTTATAAAGGGCCCGGAAGTATCTGAAAGCCCAACAATGTTAAAAGGTACACCTTCAGTCTTGAGGCAGTCAAATATTACTGTAGTGCAGACGAGTACATCAATAACTCTGTCAAACACTGTGGCAAATCAAACGATTACCACAGCAACTCAATTGAGTGGCAACAGTGCTGGTTTCTCAATCACTGAACAATCACAACAGCAGCAACAGATTTCTTAGTTTAGTCAAAAACTACAATAGGTCCTTTATAAACAGAGAGAAAACATTACGCTTCAAAAAACAAGAGTTTTGAGTCAATGAAAATTTTGATGAGTCGCATTTAAAAGACATCTGAAACTTGCCTTGCTATTGAGCAGCTTCGAATACAAAGTGCTCGAGGCAACTTACCTAATTCGACTAATTCCCTAGATGAGACCTTAACACAAGGGGATACTAGTGTGACAATGAATTCTGGCCCACAAGACATTAATTTAGAAGTTACTAAGGCCTTTAGTGACTCAATTACTGTATTGAAAAGTACAATAGAATCGAACAAAAAAATTACAAAACTACCAAGTATCAAGAAACTACACTCTAAATCCAAACAGTGACGTTAACATCTGGATGGACAAACTCAGATCTGAATTGACATCAAAGGATTTGTTAGATGTCATTGATCTAACGGTAATGGGTCCGGATAACTTAAACGAACAAGAAATAATAAAAAGAAAACAAACAGTAAGAGAAATTATAACCAGCCATTTAGAAGACAAATACTACAAAAGGGTCCTCACAATCACAGACCCAACCATGGTAATAAATGTTTAAAGGAAGCAAAAAGGGTAGAAAATAATGTCACACACACTTCAGTTAGAACGAAGTTATACCAGATGAGGCTGCAACCCAAGGAGAGTATTAATAAGTTCTGGAATAAATTCGACAATACCATTGTTGAATACGAAAGCTGTGATAACGCAGTACCTCTTACAGATGAAGAAAAAAGTCAGCCTTTTATCAAGCTGTCTGTAATACAATTCCAGAAGCCCGAACTGCACAACTATAGCATCGATAAATAACAGAGAAATCAATGACTCTGGTTGCGTTGAGGTCTCATTTACTGGAACTGGAAGCTGAGAAGAAGTCAGAAACTTCTCAGGAGCAGGGTGCGAGCGCAAACCGAGCAAAACTGTTTAAATCGCATCATGACAAATGTCATAGATGCGATAAAACGGGTTACTACGTCAAACAGTGTCCTTTAGAAGAAACTGGTGAATGGTTTTGTTATTTTTGTAAGACCAAAACTGATCACAATACAAATACTAATACAAAAAATGAAGCAATCTGTCCAAATTCAGAAAGGTCTGACTACAGATGTGATCGTGGTTGGGGTCGAGCTAGAGGTAGAGGTGCTTTTAGAAAAGGTTCGACTTTCAAAGGATACTTTAATGGTAAGTCCAGAAGATATACCAAAACCAATCAGAAGCCGTCCGAAAAGCAAGCAGCTTCACCAATGGAACGAAATAAACAAAAGCGACAAGCACGTCAAGCAGGTGAGAATTTTAAATGTACGAATAATGTAAATAATATTTCGTTTATTGCAGATTCAGGTGCTACTGAGCATATAATTAACAAGAGTTTGTTTTTAAGTAATTTTAAATATTGCACAGGCGAGGTAATTGAAAGTGCAAATAAAAACAAGTCAGCTGACATAGTAATAGATGGAATCGGCGACCTTTACTTAAAATCAAAACTCAATAAAATAAAATTAACAAACGTATCATCTGCAAAAGATATAGAAAATAATTTAATTTCTCTTTCTTGACGTCATGTTGGAAGGACTTGCTGTAAACGAAGAAGAAGAACTGAACTTTGTTGATAATTCATTGGATAGTGTACAGTGGAACAAATTCGCTAACAGGCAACAGTCATTTCCGTTTATCGGAAAAAGTGGGCTTCTGATGGATTTGCCGTCTGATATTAACGCAAGTGAAGTGCTTTCGCTATTCTTAGACGAAAAAGTTATAAGCCTTTTAGTCACAGAGATTAACCCTTTTGCTACTACGAGCGACTATAGTCGCTCTCCATGTGATGCCACTCAGRTACTACGGGCGACTATAGTCGCTTTCCATGTGATGCCGCTGAGATACTACGAGCGGCTATAGTCGCTCCCGCTAAAGATGTCGCGTAATTGTATATATGATAAGCGCCTGCAGTTGCTATGCACAGAGTATCTCACTTTAGACATGCCGCGTGAGTCTTTCGTTTTGCATCATTTGTTTTTTACGGGCTTCAGTAATAAACCAAATGCCTCGATCATCAGTCTTACGACACCGGCTCGAACGGTCTGTGCGTATTACGTTAGTGCTTACAAATCTAAGAACCCGTTGCAAAAGTGTGTAGTCTGTACTAAAAATGATAAGAGGAGGGAATCGCGATATCAATGTAAGATTTGTGATGTTGGCCTATGCGCAACACCATGTTTTGAAAAATACCACACGCAGTATCATTATTAAAATCAATTCTAATCATACGCTTATATCATGTTGTATAATATTATTATATTGTGTAATATCATTTGATCTCAGTAAATAAAAGTGCGCATGTTAATAAATTATAAATACTCAGTTTTAAAACAAGTTTTTTCGTCGAAAGTACCAGCCAAGAACGCAGGTTACAATAAGGCGTTGATGCGACCGCTACGATCGGTTGCGTGCACCGTGCACTGTTTCGGTGTAGCGCGCCGTACTGCGGGAGTACCGCGGCGAAGATCCGCCCCGTAGCGAAAGGGCGATATTAAAATATCATTCTACATATTAGTTTTTAAAGTAAATCTGCACTCACAATTAACGTTCTAAAATTTTTCAGATATTATGCAGATGTACCAAAACTAAATGTGAAAATAATCTATGTTCATGCAGAAAAGCCGGTGTTCACTGTACTTACATCTGTGCAAATTGTGTGGATGAAGGCACTTGTATTAATAAACCTATCATTACCGAAACAATTGAGGAAATTAATGATGCTAATGTACATTTGGAATCCGAACCTGAAGAAGCTAATTACATTCCAGACGATGACGGAGAAGAAGTAGGCTTTAATGACTATTACGAAGAAAAGATATAGATTTCCACTATTATTAACTTAATATCTCGGAGGTAATTGTACAGTTACTTATTTAATTATTAAAAATAAAAATAAAAATGTAAAAAAAAATGTATTTTTTAAATTTATTTTCATCTTAGTCTATATTTAACTCAGCCCTCTTTCAGTTACAAGCTTCTAACTTTAAACAGTCATCAAAAAAGTCTCAGTGATGAAACTTAATAAAAGTACCAGGTAAGAGAGTAATCATATATTTTTTTATATATCTCGAAAAGTAAGGGAGTTAAAATATTTTAGTACTGGACCTTTTTTGTAGCAAATAAAATTGTCTACAAAACATAATTAATAAAAAATCGCTTTATCTAGCTTACTTTTGGAGATATTTTCCAAAATCTATCATGCTGTCACAGATGCGCGCGAGACTCTCGAGCTATAGAGAATATATAAGAAAAAGAGAATATATTTAAAGGTAAGAAACAGCACTGATTTTGAAAATTTTTTTTCACACGTCCGTCATTTTGTTTTTATTTGAAAAAAATATACATATTGTTGGTATCATGTCTATTATTAAGCCTAAAGAATAATAGGTATTTTTAGTTTTTTTGTTTCAGACGTCTACAAAGGCTCTGTGCTTCCGCAAATTAAATTRGGGGACTCTAATTTGACGTTAAAAAAAAGGGACAAATATTGTCCAAATTAGGTTAAAAAAAATTTTTTTGTATAGTTTAGGATACTGATAGAAACATGTTAAAATTTCAAAACGATCGCATTTTGTTTTTCTATTCAAAAAAATTCATGAAAAAGCATTGAAATTTCGGTCTTCACAGGGGGGTAGGTACTACCTTAARACACATCCACGGCTAATACGAATTTTATGGTCAAATTATTAATGTACCAGTCGAGGTGRATAATATGGTGAGACATTTATCTCGCAATATTGAATATGACCAAGGCATTAACGTAATATCAAGAAAAAAAAATTCACAAATTAAGCTACATAGAGAGAATGGTTAATAAAATAACAATTCGTGCAGATTTCAGTACTTKATTCAAACTCCACTTTATGAATTCTACGATATTAAAGTAGATGAAAGTTTTATCAAGTACGATCATAACATTGATGAAATTCATCGAGAAGACGTAAGTAAAGATATACCGATCGAAGAATGTCAAACAGCAMCACAACAGACTCTGATGTGGAATAATGACGAATATTTACGGATTGCACCTGGACAGTATAATCTTTCACGAAGTATTATTTTTGATRAACATGCTGAAGAACTTTCTTTCCCATCGATTTATTTAGGCTATTTCCGAACATTCAGAGACTGAATAAATGCAAC